CACGGCTCTTGGCATTATTCGCGACTCGATCCTAGATAGGGTTTTTGGAGTTCGACTCAGGACTGAGTCTCTCATGAATAGGCATTGAGACAGGTTCTCATACCCGCTAGTCATACTAGGTTGATTGTGAAACATCGCTCTAGATATTTAGCCAGCTGGAAGTACTTTCCACGCTACTAGATCCAGGCTAGACAAACCTTCCACCGCGTTCCGTTAGGATCGTGGCGAGACGTAGGTTTACTACCACAACCTAATCTCTATCACACTTTATAGTCTCCCGCGGGAAGCCAGATCTACGATCCCTTGATGATGATCTCTCTCGTTTTATTAGTTTCATAGCTTTCTATCTCTCTCATAACTTTCATTCTCTCAAAACTCAAAACACTCGAAAGATTCCTTGTACACTAGCTTTTAGCGTAGTGCATGAAGCATGGTATGACAACCTGGAGAAGCTCAAAGAATTCAAGAAGAAGAATGGGCACTGCAAAGTCCCGAACCATCCTTCAGGATTTGGCCGATGGGTGACGATTCAGAGGAACAGGAAACATGATGGTATTCTTTCCCAGTGGAAAATAGATGCCCTTGATGCCATTGGATTTTGTTGGGGATCATATGATGAAGCTTGGGAAACAAAGTTTGCTGAATTGAAGAAATTCCAAGAGAAGCATGGTCACTGCAGGGTACCAGATGGAAAGGGAAAACTAGGCAAATGGGTCTCTAGGCAACGATACCTCCTCAAGATAGGGAAGCTGAATAATGAGAGATTTCAGAAGCTACAAGAGCTTGGTTTCACTTGGGCTGTACGTGATTCTTCTGATCCATTGGGAGAAGACTGGCTAGCCATGTTTGCCAACCTGCAGGAATTCCAAGAAAGGCATGGTCACTCCAGGGTTCCATGCCATGATGGAAAACTAAGTGCAATTACACGGCTCTTAGCCTTATTTCGCGACTCGAGCTAGATAGGGTTTGAGTTCGACTCATGACGTAGTCCTTCGCGAATAGTCATTGAGACAGGGTTCTCAATGATCGCTCTAGTCATACTAGGATTGTCGATGAAACATCGCTCGTGATATTTAGCCTGCGTTGAAAGCTTTCACGCTACTGGACAGCTACTAGCTGAAGTTTCCACGTGTTCCGGAAATGGGCCGTGGAGTACGTAGAGTTATTGACATAACATACGATATCACACTTCGAAGCCTCCCGCGGGAGGCCAACTTCAATGAGCCTCACAACGATCTCTCTCATGAATTAGTATTCGTACCTTTCTAATCTCTCTCATAACTTTCATTCTCTCAAACTCCAAAACACTCGAAAAGATCTTTTACACTAGCTTTTAGCGTAGAGCATTTTGTTAAACAAACACAATAGCTTTCAGGTACCCTCAACCTTGTCCTTCACCATGAAGATTGGTCAAGGAAAGCATGCGTTCACCAACTTCGAGAAACAGTTGCGTGACAAACCCATTCTTTCTCTCGTGTGCAACGACGCAAGAAGCCGAGATCGACGATACTCGTGCAACCACCTACAAAATTCGCACCGTTCCTGCAGATGCCAACAGTGCCAAATACACCATCAAGGTAGCCATCATCAAAGGTTCCAACACTCCACGTAAGACCATCAAGTTGGCTACGAATATGAAGAAGGTCTTCGTTGGACTCAACCTTGCCAATGCCGACGACAACCATCGCCTTCTCAAGGAGATGACTTCCAGCTCTGCGAATAGTGCCTACGAAGCTGGGAGTGCAGGCCATCGTGCAGTGCGTCATAACGCCCTATGACAAATTTCTGTGAACGCACTTCCTCCACGCGATGTGACTTCTGGAAAAACCGAAGTCCAATTCCAAACTCGTGTCCAAGCCGCATTGGGAACGGTGCAGCGCGGAACCCGCTCTAAGTGATGATGACATCACCTTTGGATCAACGCGGTTATCGAAGCAGCCTGTCCTTACAGGGCTCTCGAAAAACAGAAACGCTTCATGTGTCGCAAGATGCGTTAAGCCTAGCGAGATGACAAACTCGCGCCTACATCAACAACCTCACTCGGATGAACACCGCTGAGCTGCAGTTTGCCACCTTCCGGTGCCAATCAACAGTTGAACCAGGACGAATTCTTCGACATCATCTGTCATGGCATTCCTCGTTCCTGGATGCGCAAGATGGACAACGACTTCGATCCTTTCACTGCCGAGATGACAGCGATCATTGGATTCTGCCTGTGAGCGCATGGAATCCGCTAAAGACTTTGACAAAGGCAGTGATGCCAAGCAAATTCCTTCGAAGAAGAACACAGCAAGAAGTACAAGTCTACTCGCAACAACGACCTTTCTTCCAAGAGCGAAGAAAAGGGGTGTGATTACCACGAGTCCAGCACTCACAAAAATGCTGACTGCATGACTCTGAAGAAACTCAAAACCAAGTCCTCGTCTGACACGATAGCAAAGCCAGGCGTACACACAAGAACAAGACTTGAGAACGCAAGTCCTGATGACGCCAAGTCCTACACCAAAAGGAACTTTCGGTCCTTAGAAGAAAGTCTCCAACGCTGCTGGTCAAGCGGATCGCAAGAAGAAAAGCGATGAAACCATGTTGCCAAAGCAAGTCGACGACTCTGACAACGAGGTGACTCCTCTGTCGGGTCCTCAACATGATGGACAAGAAAATGGCTGCAGTCACAAGGCTCTTGCCGACTTGACTTCAATAATTCAGATGAGAGATCTCCGTCTGAGGATAGGCCAGGATGATGATTCACCGGAACCATGTTCCGATTTCTCATACCTAAGTGATGAAGATATCTCACTAACTAGTAAACAAGAATGTTTGCAACTGATGAAGTTACGGCAAATTAGATAATGCCTAGAACTCTCAACTAGATTCTGACGATCTTTTCAGCATCGTTACTCTTCCTGGCCAACCACCTCGTCAACGTCGCAGACAAAGACCTCAAAACTATCGTCTATGTTAGATTTAACCAGACGAAGAAAAAAGGAAACAAAAAACCCGTTACACTCTGTTGTTACTGGATACAGGAGCATACTGGAACCTTGATTACCCAAATTCATGCTGAGACATTAAACATGAAGGATCATGGGGGCGTCCAAATACAATGGACTACCCCTGTAAAGGAATTAAACCCCAGCACGAAGGTGTAAGGGTGCATATCGACCCTGAGTTCACGATGATAGAATTATCAATGGAACTTGCACCGCCAACAAGAACTTGGGGGCGTAGACATGATCATAGGTCGAGACATTCTCTCCGATCTAAGAATCAAATTCGATTTCATAAATGCGAACAACCTGACTTAAGACAGATATGCCAGAGTCAAACCAGGTAAATAAGGAAGAGCAGGAACGCTCATGTCCTTATGACCGAAGTCCGACCAATTCGAGGTATTTGGAAAGCTGACAAATGGACGACTACGAAGTGAACTTACGTCCTGAGCTAAACCCTATCACGCTAGGGCTTACTACTCCACGTGTCCATACAACACTCTTAAGAGAGTCTGAACGTCTCTGCGACGCAGGAGCACTTAAGAAGGTAAACCGTTCCGAGTGGACGGCACCAACATTTATCATTCCCAAAAAGAAGGATCTAACGGTTCATCCTTGACGCCGGGAACTAAACAAAAGGATTGAGCAAAAACCTTGTCCGATCCCAAGGATACAAGACATGCTACTGAATCTAGACGAATTCAGGAAATACGAATACCAACGAGTACGATGGGCCTATGCAATAGTCCCTACATCTTCCAAAGGAAGATGGGAACACTCATGACGACTTGGAAAATGTCCTGCATACATTATGATCAACTCATCCAACTAACGCGATCTGAGATACACGTTGAAATAGTTAGATGAAGTTCTCCAAGGTTTCGAGAAGCCGGACTTAGGATCAATGCTACCAAGTCCTCTTCAAAGAAGAGAACTGAATATCTAGGCTACTGAATTACTCGAGAAGGAATCAAACCACGTAAGACAAGAAATATCTCTCCACAACGGAAGAAACTGTAGATTCATTGGACTATGAACTACTATGAGACATATGGATCAGACGATCACATGTACATACACACGTCGGGGATCCCAAGAAAAGGAACCCTGTCCATTTCATTGCTTGACAATGATTAATCCCGTAACCGAATGGTTCGAGATCCGAGATCTGCTCCAATGCAGCAGACGAAGTAGCCATCGTTCTAGAACAAACGTGGCCTACCCGTACCCATGCCTCTGAGGTTATCATGATAGCGAACTGTGAGTTCCGCGCAGAAGTCGAGAAGACACTCCGGGATGAATTGGACTTCGTCAAGTTAACCACACGTTTCAACGTGACGCGATTCACACAGTCCGTTTCGAAGTAAACTGAAAACACATCAAAGAACGTCGCCACGACTCATCAGAAACACACTGATAAGGAAAACGCGACGCGTATCCCTCATCAATACAAGTCAACGAAACGTGATGATTTCAACAGAATCAGCACCGCAAGACGGTCAGCCAAAGTACAAAAGTCCTTACAATATGGACCGAGTCAATAACAATGGCACTACGGCTCCGACATCTACCGCCAATGGCGGCACAGTCTACCAGACTTGGAACATAAGGTATTTACACCCATACAAGCCTGATCCCCTTGTAGGATTGCCATCGTGCGACCACATGTCTACATCCAATCTCCGGAGAGTGCCCGCACTTTAATCATATGTTTTCCTTGTCCGACTGATGTCGTGCCTTCTGTGACCCTTGTCAGGGGGCGAACCAATACACGGCTCTTAGCCTTATTCGCGACTCGATCCTAGATAGGGTTTGAGTTCACTCATGACGTAGTCCTTCGCGAATAGTCATGAGACAGGGTTCTCATGACGTAGTATACTAGGTTGTCGATGAAACATCGCTCTAAGATATTTAGCGCGTGAAAGCTTCCACGCTAGACAGCTACTAGCTGAAGTTTCCACGTGTTCCGGAAATGACCGTGGAGTACGTAGAGTTATTGCCATAACTACATATCACACTTCGAGGCCTCCCGCGGGAGACCAACTTCAATGAGCTTCACAACGATCTCTCTCATGGATTAGTTTTCGTAGCTTTCTAATCTCCTCTCATAACACTTTCATTCTCTCAAACTCAAAACACTCGAAAGATCTTTACACTAGCTTTTAGCGTAGTGCATAAGCAGGTGGGTCTCTACACAGCGAACGCTTTACAACCACGGGAAGCTGAACAAGGAGAGATTTCAGAAGCTACAAGAGCTAGGTTTCCCTTGGGTTGTACACCGCAATTCTTCCTCTGGTGTCGCACAACCTAGACAAAGTACCCGATCTCAAACATCCAGGAAGGGAGGAGCAGGTGCCAATTCCAAGGATTCTGATTTGGATGAAGATGATGATGGCGAAGATACATATGAGATGGAGTCAATAGAAGAGAACAAACAAGAGACTGACGATTATCAATCTTCTGATGAAGAACAGATCAGCAAGCCTCCAGCAAGGAAGCTCAAAAGAGCAACAAAATGCCAAGGTCACAAACTTCAAGCTTATTCCAGGAAACAGAAAGCTACTCCCAAGAAGAATGCTTCGGCAGAAAAGGATGACACCGAATCCATAACTCAAGACAAGGATTCCAGGAGGAGAACTGCCCAATTGGGGATGGAATCAGAAAAGGAGGAAACAGAGCAGAGCATAGTGATGGAAGTTTCGAGTGAGGAGGATGATGATGATACCAGTAGTGACACCAGTAGTGACATTGAAGGTGAGATTGAGGAAGAAGATGACGACTTGGGTGCGGAGGAATCTAGTATTGGAATTCCCAGAATGGGGAAGGGTTCCCAACTTCAAAAGCTCCGCAAGCTGGTTGCTGCCCAGGAGACAATCATCAAAAACCAGATTGAACGGATGCACCACAAGAGAACAATTATCCACCGTCAGAGGAGGACTATCAAAAAGCAAAAAAAGGCGATCAACAAAAAATAGAAGTCCATCCAAGAGCTCCCAAATCATTTGGCTGCTCTGCAACAACAAGTTGAAACAATTCAACAAGAGCTTGCAGATCTTGAGGGCTCAAGGCCTGACCTTTAGAGTCCGTACCTATGGACTTCGATAAGTGTTTCTGCAGCAGTGCTTGAAAACTATGTGGAATTGGTCTGCTGCTGCATTGGCACAACTACCCGTAGCCATGAGATGGATTGCAAGGACCAATCAGTATTGAACATTATAGCACCCACGACATTATCTCAGCGTGTACTTCTTTCTTGCTCCTTTGGCCTGTCTTCCCCCCTCTGAAGCGGACGCGCAGCACCAAGCCGCTACCAGTCGCTTGGTGGCTAGCTAGCAATCCAGAAACCAAAGCATCCGCATGGCTGTTTACTTAAGTTTAGCTACTAGAATCGTTGTCGTCTTGCCCTGACATGCTATGGCTACGTGTTTGGTTGATGATCGCTCTCCCGCTCAGGTTGGATGAGCGGCACGGATGCGCTCTTTCATCATAGTTGTTCACGGCTTTCGGCGTTGCACAGGTAATTATTTGTTGTAAAGTCTTTGGTTTTGACAGAGTTTTGGGTTGGGAGAACAATCCTTTCATTTGAATTTGAGATACTAGCTAGCTAGTACACCAATGAGAAAGTAGTATTAGCCACAGCTATATTATTGGATCTTGAGGTCAGGTGAGCTCTTAGGAAAAGGTAAACCAAATCTCTAGCTAGCTAGCTATTAGATCCTGGGCCAACGCCACTACAAACGTCTGGACCTACTCGCGGATCTCACCAGAACCAGCCCCCTTGTCTATCCAACCCAACTCCTTGATCTACCGCTTGCAGCCCCATGCCCAGTCTCCGATACGGCTCATCTATCTTACTCCTGGAACTACCGTACAACTGCACTAGAGTTTGGCTCAACTGTACAGTCTACGGTAGCAATGAGCGACAGCAGCGCCCAATCCAGGCCCCGCTCCAGCGCCTTGAACACAAGAAGGTATCTGTCCCTCTCCTGGCCCTCTGCCTGCACCCATCGCCTTATGAGTGCATTTACAGCTCGCGATGTTCCAACTGGAAAAGAAAAAGCAACCAAGCGCCTATGGTGCATAACAATTTGGTAGCTGCAGCAGCGAAAGCTTCAACCACTGCATCACGGTTTCTTAACGTGTTGACTTCCTTGCTCGTTTGGCCCGTCTTCCCCCCTCTGAAGCGGGCATTGGTATGACCAATTCCATATCTCTTACAGTCACCTTTTCTTTACCCAGAGCTAGCAACAAGGAAGAACCTTGCACAAGTCTCTTGGATCGTGGTTTGGAAAAGAATCGCAGGTTGTTCTCTGTCATGGCTTGCCCAAGGTTGTTGTTGCCGTCGCTGCTAGCTTCCGAAAACAGGCGGTCCAGTACCCGTTTCCGAACCAAATGACTCAATTGAGCAAAGAGCTTTCCAATCGAGTATTTGTGATTGGCTGTGAGAATCTCACAAAAGGATTTGCCGCCACAGCGCTCTTCCCAGACCATGAGGGAATCGTAAAAGGCAATCAACCAAGTACCGGTAGCAACGGCATGATCCTCAAAGCACCAAATGCGAGGCTGATTGTTGGACGACAAGACGTCGTTCATAATTAGCATGGCAGTCATGGTTGTTTGTTTCATCAGTTGCATGTCATACACAAACTGACTCGCCACGCGAGTGGCTTCGGAGTACAGGCGAACCGCTTCGGCGAGCCGGTATTCCTGCGTGGCGTCGAACTGATAGAAACTTGTTTTGTTGTCGCCATTGGGGTCACCGTCGTTGTTGCTGCTGGCAGTGTCATTGGATGTGGTTGTTTCCTCCCACACAGAGTCTTTGTGATAGTGACCAGCGCAAAAGTACGGGTAGGCCTGCGAATCTCCATATTGATTCCTGGCAACGGAAATCGCCTCGAGGTACAAGTTTTCCACGGCCATGACCTTGATTCCCATGCCGGTAGCATCGACCCAATCCAATCCCCGTGAGGTGCTCCGGTGATCTTCGCATTCTGCCAATTCGAGAGTTGCAAACGGAAACGATCCCAAATGCCCCTGATCTTTGAGTATCCATAGGAACTCTCGTTTGAGATCCATGAGAGGACCACTGGCAAAGTATTCCGTGTTGATTGTCATGGTATTACTGGTCCTCGTGACAATGCTGCAATTGATATTTCCCACCAGCGCTGCCAACACCATGGGGATGGTCCGGCATATCACAGCGTGATTTCTCATGTACAACCAGCAATTTTCTGGCGTAACTGTATAGGGCAATGTCTTGTTTTTGTTGGCTTTTTTCAATGCATCCGCGACATCCAAACCCCTGGTTTTCTGTACATCTTTGGTGTTGCCGGCCAGTGCAATCTCACACGTTCCCAGTTGTTCTTGCTCTTGCTGCTGCTGCGAAGTTGTTGTTGTTGTGAGACAATGGCTTTCGTAGGCATGATCTTCACTGAGTGTCAAGAAACTGGTAGATGGTGCGTCCTGGAGTACAATTTGCAAGGCCGCAATGGTGACCACGGCAGCTCCCAAGCAATCCAGTGATCTCTTGTCAATCGCTCCCCGAAAACAAACGTACAAGCTATTGGCATGCAGTTCATCACGTGCATCTCTGCTCTTCCCATGAGCCTTTTTCCAAATGGCATTCGAGACGGCTCGAACCGCCTCACGATGTGCTTGCCCTTGACAGTCGTTTTGGAGTTGCTCGCAAAACGGAACAAATTCGGTGTGAACCAGACGTCGTAGAGCATCGAGTGGTACGGGGTAGATACCATGACGCTTGGAGGGGTCCTTGTGTGTAGTCAAGGCTTCACAGTATCCACAAACAGTACTCCAGACAGCCACGACAGTAGTAGCATTTTCATTGGCTTCCTTGACGTCTGCGCCAAAGGCAGACTTGAGCTCTTCTAAAGAATGAATCAAGCGATCATTGGGTTGATGCTCCAAGGATTGCCAATGAGGCGACGCTTGAGGCTCTGCAGTGGGTTCATCGTAGCGTACCCGCTTCTGACGCTTCTGCTTGGAAGTACTGTTGGTGCTACTGCTGGAAGGAGTGCTGCTGTCGCCGCCTTTGGATGCCATCTTGACCCCTTGCAAAAAGTAAGATTGTGGGCTTTGCTCGGATTGCTCCAAGAAAAGATCTGGTATCTGGTTCCCTTGAAGTTTTAAGCCAACAAGAAGGCTAGAAACTTGGTAAAGTTGTGCGAATGATCAATCGAATCCAACCATCATCACACTTCCATCCATCCCTCTGTGCATACTAGTACCGGTACTTGCGCCAAGATTCTTTTACAACACCTTTGCTTCTGTCTCTGCCAACAAAACTCACTTCTCATATTCTCAAATGATGTTCTTCATGCTGACCCGCATCTCTGTTGCGCTTGTGAAACCCGCAAAGTCAACCCCTTTGGCCCACTAGTCTAATGGTCCTCAATTTTTTGCTCCTGATTCCTAGAGTCGAGTCTCGACTCTTCTTCGCTTTTAAGCCTGGCCCTAGCTAGTACCGTAGCCAGCTGGCTTCCGTAGATAATCCACCTCGACTACTATAAACCCCCTTCATCAGAACTACAGTAGCTAGCTAGCGAGATAGTACTCGAGTTTTCTGTAAAGAAATGAACTATGCAGTAGGGTGTATTGGAAGTTGCCGATTCAATCGGGAAACTGAAATTGCGAGGAATTAGATTTTGATCTTTATTACTATAGTTAGGAGAGTACGAAACTACAATCCAGAGGAACAGCGGTGACACCCGAGCTGGTTCCCATCAGGTCCATCAAATATCAGGACTCCACGGCTTGATTTTTCGGGGGTATGGTTGTTTGGTTGGATGGATGATTGTTTGGTAGTCGGTGGATTGGTTGGTTGGATGGATGGTTAGTTGGATCGTTGGTGGGCGGATTAAAAGGTGGGTTGGTGGGTGGATTAAAAGAGACACCTACACGCATGGGTCCGGAGCCTTGCTAGAACAGTGGTTGAGGTAGTATGAGTGTTGGTTGGTCCCTGCTCCTCACCGGGGAAGAAAAAGAAGAAAAGTGAGGAGCAGGGACCAACCAAGACTCATACTACCTCAACCACTGTTCTAGCAAGGCTCCAGCCCCATGCGAGGGACCTTCCCAATACTATTGTGAGGCCAGAATGACAACTTCCTGCTCGTGCAACTTCCTGTCTGGGGCAGGGGACCTGGGGCGACCTGGGGCGGGGATCCAGATCCCCACCCCCGGATAGGAAGTGGCACGAGCGAGGAAGCTGTCATTCTGGCATCACAATAGTATTGGAAGGTCCTTACATTTGAAGATGAAGTCGTCGTGCTGGTAGGAAGAGAGCCCATGCGATTCCGAGCCCGTCCGAAGAAGTCCAACACATCGCGATGATGCCGTAGCATGATGCCTGCCCGGCCGTAGAGAATGGAAGATAGCGAAGATCTTGACCAGAGCGAACCACCAAAGGAAGATAGCATAGATCTTGACCAGAGCGAACCACCGAAGGAATGGAGCAACCGATACTTGAAGATAACTCCAACATGCCAACCGTAGATGATGAGGAACACGAAGCCATCACACGAAAAAGAAGTGCCCTTGCATCGCACAGACCGAAAGACAGAGGAAAGCTGAGGAACCAAGGTTGCATTCGAAGGAATTTGTCCAACTGCATCGAGATCGATCCTGCAAGAATAGATATAGAGAGCAGAAACAGAGTCAGACTTGAGGTAGAGAATTGAATGAGTTCCACGCCACCGACCTCTGGTGTCAAAACAAAGAATAGTACACATTCGCTCGCAATCGAAGTGGATGGATGGATGGATGGATGGACCGTTGGTTGGTTGGATTGTAAGTGGGTGGTAGGGAAAAGGGTAGATGGTTGGTTGGTTGGTTGCGTCACATTGGGTGGGTGGGTGGCGTGGGTTCGTCATGAGCGAATGTGTACTGTCCTTCGTTGTGTAGACACCACAGGAGCGGGGACAACGAGCGAACAACCAAGGACTTACCATTGTCAAAGATTCGAGAGGGAGCAAAAGAGCAAAAGAGCAAAAGACGAGACGTCAGAGGAAATTGCATGGGTTGAGTATAATGAGAGCTTGCTGGTTTTGAGGCACCCACTCGACTCCCTGTTTCCTTTCAGCTACCGGTATAGCTTTTGAAATCAAAATCAAATCAAATCAAAATAGTGGGTTCAGCGATAGCTTTTGATACTGTACCAAAATAGGGATCCAGTATCAAAATTATTGTAGGAAACGCCGTGTTTGAAGTGGCAAGCAAAGTTTCAAAATGAAAGTGACGCCATGACGCCATGGTCGTTGCTTTACCGAAGAATAAAAAGTCTTTAGGCTGTGCTTGTTAGAAAGGTATTTTCGTATGACGGACAGACGACTCGGGATCCACAATCACGGTTCGTGATTGGGGATGTGTGACTCGAATCAGATGGTTATCCGATCATCATCAGATGGCCAGGAGTGTGAACACTCCTGCAAAGTTCAAACGCACTTGCCAATAGTTTTGCCCGATCTTCTGCCCATCCAGGTCCGTCCTTGGTAACTGACCCAACATAAACATCAAAAGCCCTTCCCACTTTCGTTCGCGGGCTCGCGCCTAGAATAGTTTGAGGGATGAGCTCGTTTCTGATCCTACCAGTCGCCTGGACTGTGTCGTCCACTCCCAACAAGCATATGTCAGCAGCTCGCCCATTGGCTTTGGCGACGCTGTTGTTCACGGTAAATGCGATCGGCTGCGACCCTTGGGATACCATAGTTCCGTAGGATAGAGTTCGCACTCGAAAATCTTCCTCTCCGAGCATCATACTCTGGGGTAATCCTTCCTTCTGCAGGTGTTTGTTGCCTCGTTGCGCCATGCTTCTGCTTGTCTGCTCACGAGCACGCTGACCAGAATCAAGCGCTTCCACCGTACAATCACTGGCCATGGGTTGTGCGAATCCGCTTCTCCCAATAGTGGCATATCCACGTGCACCTTCCAATCCCGATTGTATTGAGCCTGTGCGACCATCTCCGTTACATACTTCACTTCTACTTCGGGAATGCTGAATGCCGTAACCCGAACATCCTGCGTTTCCTGTTCCTTCGCCGACGTTTTGTCCGCGCTTTATCTTGCACGTTAACATAGCCCCTGCGATAATTGTCGTGTCTTGGAGTCCAATCGCGAAAGAGCAACAAACTGCTGACCCAACCTAGCACTCGCCTGGAGCTCCACGAGATGGGGTTGTTCTGTATCTCGTATGGCATCATCTCAGCAACCATCTGAACTGTTCGAAGTCTTCCGACCAGTTGCTTCATCTCTGGCTCGAGTGCCCTTCCCATAGTGCTCGTGGGATTAGTTGACATGCTTCTTCCGCGATCCTCCTCCACTGTATACCCCTATGTGTGAACGTCCAATTCCCATCCTTCGGTTGCTCGGTTTCATGGGATGTCGGTTGCTCAATGGGATTGGATGTTTGCTGATCTTCATCATGTGTCGACTCCAACCTCGGTACAGCTGTGCCTCTAGCACGTTCCGGGCAACTTGGATCTGTTCGACATCTTTTACTTCTTCGTCGTCTTCGCTCAAACAGCTGTAGTAGTTGTCGTCTTCGTAGATTGTGGGCGAATTTGTCGTTCGTTGTTTCTCCTCCTTCTCAGAAACTTCTTTGTTGTAGCCGTTTTGCTTTAAATCGTGGAGTGTTTCGCTGTCGGAATCTGCCCTGCTCTCTGTTTCGCAGGACAGATAGGTAACGTCTGGGTTCTTGTTGTATGTGACTGATTCTTCTTTAGTCAGTCGTTGTTGTTTTCTTGGAGAGATTTAGGGCGTCCATCGCCTCATAAGTTAATTGCTCCAAGCTTTCTCCATCTTCATCCACGTCATCTCCGCTTTCAAAATCGTCCCAGAATGCGTCCCATTCTTTGCCTTCATATTCCGATGCTTCTTCTACTCCTCCTGTTCATCGTCTGACAACTCTACTCCTCGGCATGGCATGCATATTTCATCGCTCATCGTCATGAATGCCATCTCTTCCGTTGTTCTTGTGCTGTGTTCGCTCCTTCTACATTTCGTTGTTCCGCTTTGAGTTTTAGGCAATCCGATTTCCTGTGCCAATCTTTCCACAGTGGAAGCACTTTCCGCTGAACTTCTTCTTTCCTTGAAATCCGCTACTGCTCCCATTGTTCCTGTTGAATTTACCGTTTGACTTTCCTTGGTACCTTTTGTCCGTAGCTTCTTCCGTTCGAGCCTTTCTTGTCTGGGCAGTCTTGTTGTTTGTGTCCGATCTTCCCACAGTTCCTGCATCTGCCCTTAAATTGTTTTCCTCCAATCATGAAAGCTGTTTCGCCATTGTGGTCTGTCGACTTGTTCGTGCTTTAATCTCATCGTAGATTTCGCATAAGTCATCCACCACACCCTTTACCGTTATTCCATGTCCTGTTGTCTTGATCCTTCGCAGAACATTCTTCTTCACTTCATGATACACTCCGAGTTCTCCTTCCTTCTCGGCATCTTCTCGAGAAGGTCCTTGATGTACTCTTCGTCCGATATCTTGAACCCATCCTTCGCATAGCTTCTTGCGTTTCACGTCGAGTCCAATCTCGAACTTCTTTGGTTTTCCTTGATGTCCATCTTTATCGCGTAGTATTCCGTTCGTCGAGCTGCTACCTCACCACTGTCTTCAGCATCGTAGAGGTCCAGCATGGACTCCACATGCCCTTGAATTTCCAGCAGCATGGTCAGTCGTTTGGTGTGAGGCCAGTAGGTCGAAGGCGACTTGCCCTTCGATGGTCTCCACATTGATCGAATCCAGCAGTATTCCAGCAGCCTTGCTGTTCTTCTTCTGCAGACTTTCGATCTTTTCTACTTCGTCGTCCGACAACTTGCCCGTACCTGTAGGGTTTTCCCAGTTGTCCGGTTTGATCTCCGTAGAGTCCTTCATCAGTTCTACGTACCCATACTTCGATAAATGGGCCATCATCTTGACCTTGTAGAACCTGAATTTCTCATCTTTCCCATCGAAGATGGGATACTTGCTCGACGATGATACCTCTACCTCCGTAGACATCTTACTTACTTCTCAATTCTTCTCTTTTCTGTTTGACAACCTGGATCCAAGCTCACTCTTTCCTGATAGCTATCGTTTTAAAACGTGTTGAAAAGGTGTGAACTTGAACGCACAATTTCTCTAATTAATCAATATCCTTCCAGCTCACTGTCTAGTAGACTGGCTATTTGTTCGTTTTCTCTTTCTCTCTCGTTCAGATTGTGAGCTCTACAACTGAGCTCCGATATGCATACATATACCAGGATCTTTCGATCCTCTGTTTCTCGAGTTTCATCGCAGATAGATCTCGTCGATCTATCTTCCTGAAGTGCATGGTTGGCCCTGGAGGGCTTTCCACTTTACTAAACCTATGGACCTTCATCCGTCCATTCATTTGTTCCATCCCGTCGCTCCTTGCATTCATCTCTTCGACCTAACTTTCCTAACCTTTGTAGTTGCATCATCTAGACGACCATTGTCCTCGTTCCTTGTACACCTGGCCATCTGATGATGATCGGATAACCATCTGATTTGAGTCACACATCCCCAATCACGAACCGTGATTGTGGATCCCGAGTCGTCTGTCCGTCATACGAAAATACCTTTCTAACACACGCCGCGGCGCCGTTTCGTTGACACGGTTACAACCGCGATCCCCGAAGCAGATCTTTGACGCCAAAGAGAATAGATCACAGATCCTTCTTGCTGGGTACACTGGTGCTGATCAACCTCCCCGCTCTGATGGTCTCCCAAGCTTTGCTCAAGGTGGACGAGAGAACTGGTGTTGTGGGTTGGACGTGGACTGGTCCATAGCTCAGGCTGTCGTCGGCAACCAGCAATGTTTTTCTGCCACACATAGTACGGGCAAATGCAACCCAACCCTCCCTGTGATGCTGCTTGCATCCTTCTATAAAAAGAAGAAACCATGTAATATCTAAACATACCGTGGCTAATATTTATGATTTATTCTATAAACTAATGAATGGTTGGCATAGTGCGGGCGCGCAATTGGTTCGCTGCATCCCCCTCCAACCCATGTAGTAAGGGTATCCAAACTCTTCTTTTCTCTCTTCTTCTTCAACGTTTGTTGTACTGTACATGATCTCAAGCCCACAGAGTGTTGTATCTTTGCCCGTGATCTAATCCTGTTTTCTATGATTCCAAATCTTCTATGCTGGTTTGCTGGCTAGCTAGCGCTTAGGCCGTTGTCGTCTTCCAGTCTTAGACGTCATCTGGTCCAGACACCAAGCTGACAAACAAGGCAATGGCGCCAAAGATAACATCCACAATGAAAGTGGCAGCGGATCCATTGTCGCTGTTTTCAATGCTCTGGATGATTCCGCTGTTAAACGAGAGACCCAACAGCATTCCAAGGGTAGCGAAACTGGCCAATGTCCCCAACAGAGCAAGGTCGACTGAATCCTTGTGCACTGCGGTTTCCTGATCCGTAGTTTTAACAACTGTTTCTTGGATGGCGGCAAGTCCCGGATTATCTTCCATGATCTCTACAGTCGACGCGAGATGGGTTCTCTTCAACGAAATCTTGTTTGTTGGCTGCACGCTAAACGAGCTAACATCACTGCACAAGCAAACGGCAAGGAAGGCAACAAGGAGACAGTTTCGGTGGACCATTGTAGTTTGAATTGATTACTCGTAGTAGTTGGTTGGATGCTGTTTTTGTTGATTGTTGATTGTTATGATCGGTTTATGAGAACAGGAGCCTGGCCTTTTTGCACTGATGTTGGCTTGCAGGTTTGATGTTGTTCTGGTTCGGCGGAACTCTGTGAGGCTTAGCGCTCGGAACTTGTGACGGAGCTTCTTTTCAGGCGTCCACCCCTCGTCAAAAATTATTTAGCTCTGCTTACCAGTAAGCATCTACTAGGTCCTTCGTAGGCTTCTACAGGACGGCTGGACGGCGGGAGTCAACAGAGCAACAGATGGCAACAGGCAACGGCCAGAATGGTCGGAGTGTAAACAACGGCGAAACATCAACCGCTCAGGCCAAGTCCAAATCTGACATTTGGTCTTGGCAGGAGGACAACAAGTAGTATTGATGGTAACAAGCCAGCCAAGACCCTAGAGAGTTGCATCCAGCCAGCGCTCAGAGCGCTGGCTGTGCCCAGGAGAGTTGGTTCAGGATTCGGTTCACAGCGTTCAGGAGCTGGCCCAGGTTTTGGACCGGCCGCTTCTAGTAGGAATGGGGTTGCTTGGGTCCTCCAAGGGGTACGGTACGGCAAACGTTTATTTTGGAGTGACCCACAAAGTTTGGCATGGATGGCTCCCAGAGTTCTACTACACTGTAGGCCCTTGACTTAGGTGCGTCCATGCAGAGTTTGGTCCAGGGTCCAGGCGATCTTCCTGGAGTTTGTATTGGCCAATAGATACTTCAGCAGGCATCCAAGCAGAAGTGACTACCGGTACCGGTACAGCGTAACAGGTACTGATAGCCACATGAGAGTTGCAGTGCGAGCAAAAGCGAAAGACTGGTTTCAAGGATGCTGGGGGAGAAACAACGGCATTGTAAAAAGCCCTAACGCTAGTAGAGATAAACATACCAGGCCAAAACACGAGCGCGAACGAAATCGAACAGCCCAAAACTCGTCACTCGCCCGTCGTTGCACCATATGCATGCCGACCCTTGCCCATACTAGCTAGCTAGTACCGGTAGTTGTTGTTCTTGTGAACAAATAAGCGCTATAGAACCTGTGTCATCACCATTCGGCAGTAGGAAGAGGAAAGGAACACTAGCTCTCCCTCGTCTGGTTGGAGCTAATGCATTTTTTGTGAGGTCTTTCGATTGTGCCGATACATTCACTCTGTCACCCACGGCTGTTGCGGAAGATGTCTACTAATCCTGGAAGTTTTGCCAGGGACAATGATACTACCTATCTCGAGGCGATAGCCATTGCCGGGATCATAATGGGAGCTTTGGTTGCTTTGGTGATACTGAGGTTATTTGTGAATCTATGCATCGATGTGGTTATTCTCGGGGATTTGGATTCCGCCAGGAGGTCACTGGGATCGCTGGTACGGCGATTTTGTCCGTGGTGGCATCGAAGGACCCAACCTGAAGATACTTCTGCAGAAACCAATAATGGTAACTCTAACGACCGAGAACAGCAGATGATGGAGTTGGGAAACACTCCGCGGAGATTTCAGTATTCCTTGGACGAAAGAAAGAATATCATTGCCACCATCCTTCAAGGAAGGGTGAGTAGAGGATCTCCAGGTTTGCGGGATCACTTGCCTGACCATCTTGTCCTTACCTTGCTTCATCCAATCTATCTACTATAAAGACGCTTAAGAGTGAAGATATTGAAAAATTAAAGAGTGACGAGCCTGAGCCTAGTTTTATGAGTGAAGGGTCAGGGTCTGGTGGTGGGAAGATTTGTTCCATTTGCCTGGTGGAGTTTGGTGCGTTACTTTTTGCGCTACGCTCGTCATGTGCTATTGATTGCATTGGGTGGATTTTCTTTAGCTTACTGGTATTTGCTACCTTCACTATTGCTTGTAGCTGTTGGAGACACAGCGGTAACAGCAGAACGCTGTTCTCACACCTTTCATCACAAGTGCATAGTGGACTGGCTGGGCACGCATCAGACCGATTGCCCGTATTGCAGAACGCAAATGGTATCACCAGAAGCTCTGGAAACAGCTGCCTCATCTTCAAGTCTGTCTCATTATTTATAGCCCAAACTTTTGCTCATAATCAACAGCAACGCTCACATTCATAGAACGATTCGATCGAACCCAATCCGTGGTTTGAAAAGCTATAGCTATGCCGCATTTTGCAAACCATTTTCGTCCGCCGTGATACCTGACGGACACTTTCCTCATCTACCTAGTCTAATGTTCTTGGTTGCTGAGGGGGCGTTTGTGCAGTTTGCTGGTACATCTGGGTTCGTGGACGCCCGGATGCTTGAGCTTCTCGATCTCTGTCGTCGAACGTGAATCCCACAAAGGTGTCGTGAGCGAGCTGTTCAGCAGCCTCGCTATCGTCCGCATTTCCAGCCTCCTCACTGTGAACAGGCATTCTCGTGAATGTATTGTCGAAATTGGCCGTTGCGGCGTCAATTGAGAATTGGTCGATTTCATTCGAGCTTGTTGCAGATGCCGACACATTTGTGTGGATCATGCCATCCACTGAGGCATCATTTCCATCTGGTGGCTTCCAGCCTTCACACGGCCGGATTGGTGCTTCGACTCGCCTTCCATATAGAGCTCTCCAGTTGATCGTTCGGAAAAATTCATGCTCCATTGCAGTACGGACACCCGCAACGCCCAACCGTCGTCGAGGGTTACGTTCTAACAGGGCGCTGACGCAACTGGCTGCTTGACTGCTGAATTTGTTGGGTATGTCGAGCGGTGCGCTCTTGAGCCTTCGGAAAAGCTTGGCTCGATCTGTCGTGTACCATGGTGGCAGTCCCGTCATCATTTCATACAGCAGCATTCCAAGTCCCCAGTAATCCACACAGAAACCGTGCCCTTGTTGGCCGAGCACTTCCGGCGCCATATACTCGGGTGTTCCGCACATGGACGTTGCTCCCTCGCATGGATGCTTCAGACCAGCCTTGGCGAGACCAAAGTCCCCTAGCTTGACGTGACCTTCAGCATCGAGCAAGACATTCTCGGGTTTTAAGTCACGGTATATGATTCCTCTCTTGTGCAGGTGGCCAATCGCTAGTAACAATTCTGCGGAATAGAACCTGGCTACCCCTTCAGGGAAGCAGCGATGCCGTGACAAATGGAAGAATAACTCACCGCCAGGACAGTAGTCCAGTACAAGGTACAATTTTTCTGGGGTCTGAAATGCATAGTGCAGCTTCATGATGAAGGGATGATTCACAGCAGATAAGACTTTTCGTTCTGTCCGCGTCCTTTCGATTTGCCGCCTTTTCACGAGGTGTGTTTTTCGCAAGATTTTCATGGCAAACAGAGATCCGTGTTCTTTTCCAACCCGCTTTTGCACCAAGACAACCTAAACGGCAGCAAACAAAAAAGAATACAATCAACAAAACATCGTTGCGTCCCCCAGTTCACAAAAGGCAGTACTGGACTCACTTTTCCAAAGGAACCCTTTCCAAGAACTCTCAGCAACGGAAGGAACATTTGTACGTTTGGTTTTGTTACAACATCTTGCTGTGTTCCAGTGTCCCACTCTAGCCCATCATCGGGTATTATTGCAGGGTCGTTTTTCACGGGGGTGACAACGTTTGGTCTTTTTTGTGTTTGCGGAGTTTGTGGTAGTGTCGATAGACCTGCAGCACCCGGCGACAGACTGGAATGTCCATCGTCAATTCCTGGTCTGACAGGCGATTGTTGTTGCGTTTGATGATGGTGTATGGGTGAGACGGTAGCATTGGGGTTTGTGTCGTTTTCATCTTCACCATCCGAGTCGTCGTCATCTTCGTCCCATCTAGTTTCCCATTCACTGGCACCTCCCTTGCTGCTGGACGCCTTGACCACATTCGCATTAACCGCTGCGGCCGTGGCCGACACAGCGCTAGCGGTAGCACTGGCTGTGGCAACAGCTGCATTGGCTGTCGCTTGGACTCCTGAACGAATTGTGCTTGAAATGCTGAGATTCCTCATGGAGTTAATCAGTTTCTTTCCTCTCCCTCCTTTGGCGGTTCCATAAAATCCAGGTGATCCTACGGCCAGGTTGACATTGGCAGTCGAACCTTGTTGGGCATGCAAATGTTGTGGCGCGCCATGCACACCAGAATTATGTTGATGTTGGTCTGGGTATTGATTGTGGTGAATTTGCGGCTGTTGCTGATGGTGATGATGAATTCCATTCATGCTCTGTTGCTGTTGTTGCTGCTGCTGTTGCTGATGAAGGTAGTATTGCTGTTCTTCCGGTGTCATGTGCTGTAAATTATTGGGATATGGTTGTGATTGCGCATGTCCTGCGGCAGCTCCGCCATTTCCGTAGTGAGTGGTAGGTGCCATGTATGGCATCTGCCCAGCTGCTGCTGCTGCTCTTGCTGCCTCTTTCCCTTCAAAGTCTTTGTTATTATGGGCTCTTCCTGCAGCCGCTCGATGCAGCATGGTCCCAATCATTTTCGTTCCGGGTCGGGCATTGGCTTGTCCGTGCATTGGTGGATTCACGGAGGATGGCGGAGCTCTCGCCTGATCTTCCAAGCCATCGCCATCGGCTTGCGGAAGTGATGCTTCTTGGCCCATTTTCTCTTAGTGCTTATTGTCGTGATAATGGATGATATATAATGGCCCTCGTTGACAGACGCCGCAAGCTAGAGACCTCCTTATATTCGCAATAAGTTGGATAGCGGACTGACTGATAAGGATAATCAATGCTACCGCTCTGTCTCGTCGGTACACGGCCAATCCAACGAGTGTTGTCTATCGTGACAAGATCTGACACCTCTTCGTTGCACCCTGGGTGCGATGACCTTTTCAGAGTGATCCGGAAACAAAATCAAAAATCACGTTGGTTCTTGCCAAAAACACCGGAAGCCTTTCAAAGGTGCCGTTATCAATTGTCGTCAGTCCAAGACACGACACAGTCGCATTCAATGAGGAGGAGGGGACAAATACAAGGTAGACTTAGCGTTCTTGGCAGTTTATGTTTATACGGGCCTCGTTCCGAATGGGCAGCTACCCTCAACGCCACTTGCCAATCCCTCCGCCAGTTTGCGTATTGGTTTGCCGCTCACCGACCACCACAACAACAAAAATGCTGAATGATGGTGCTGATGCGATGATGCTGCGACAATGGATCTGTCCGGTACTGTACCTCACGTAGAAGCAGTACCACCAGTATACTTGTAATTATGTTGATTAATAGTTATCTCTTATTCCCTGAGCGACATGTCTTGTTAAGCCTTTCATTCGAACACGCCAGTTCCTTGACCGATAAGGGTGGGGTTATGTCTCCCTCGCTCAAGAAAAGGATCCGAGCCCCTCTCTCCTCACCATCGCAAGCACACAGCATTGCTCCGACGTGGACGCGGGGTACATTAGCTGTCATTTTCTTCTGTGGTTGCTCTTTCTCCCTCTCTCTTTCATTACTTCCTTGAGCCGCACTCGATTCGAATTTGCCGCAAGACGACAGGGTGGACGCTCCTCTACATTCGGGTTTTCAAATCGTTTCGGCTGCTAGTCGCCAATCGCATTGGTTGAGAATCGTCGGACGACACCAAGAAGGCACCCAAAAAGTCTCTCTGCACAACAACCATGCAAGCTTCGGAAGGAATGGCCAGTGTCGCTGCTCGCATCCAAGAGCGCTCATTGCAGCTCTCGTCGGAGCAAGCTGTATTGGAGCTGGTTCAATTGGAGCACGGTGAATACCAGGCCGCACTGGACGCGGAGAATCAACAGACGCGAGAAGTCCGCCGCAAGTTTCTCGAAACTGCATCTAATCGCAATGGAGTGGAACTGGAACTGTGGAACGTTGAGTCAAAGCGACAAGATTGTGTGGAATCTACAAAGCGACAGGAAGAAGAAGAAGAACGTCTTTGCGCTGCGAGGAATGAAAAGCAAGCCGAATGGGAAGAGCTTGTCGAGGATGTTCTGGCGGGTCATGCTCTTGCACAAGAAACCTATCGCACTACCTTCCATAACATAAGCAGACTTCGAAGCGATGCAGTGTCCAAGCGCAAGCAACAGCTGGCTGCGCTCGATGATCACTTGAAAGGTCTGAACCGCCATGACGACCCCTTGGCAGCAGAGAAGGAACGGCTGCAAAAGGCGTTGGAAGAACTGGAAGCCAACGAGCAAAAAGAAGATGGTGAACTCGCTCGTCTTGCACAAGAAGTGCAAGAACATGTGGCAACGCGCTCAAAGCTTCGAGAAAGTGTCAGAGCGCATCAAAAGGCTTACCGCGATGCCAATGCAACCGCGCTGCTATGGGAAAAGGAGTGCTGTGACATGGATGCCGTTCCCTGAACACTACATGGCCATTCTGTATGATGTAGCTGTGAGCTACCGGTACTTTGATAGCAAGGTGCCTTCAAGTTGCCTTCAGCTTGGGTTCCCGAGGGATCTTGTCGCTACCGTACTTCCAGATTGGTTGGATTGACTGCTGTTTCAAGATGGCGCTTTGAGAGCTTCAGAGAAGAAAACCATTCGCTTGTTCCTGTTGCTTGTGAGTAGTCTAGGCACGAGGCTTCGATGAGTCAATATTATGTGTATTGCTAGTAGTTTATTTGTGTAGTGCTAGTAGGTTTTTCCGCTTTCCGGAGTATAAAATTTGTTGGGTGTGCTAGTGTTGAGGAGAGAGCTCTTTATCTTCTGCGAGCCATCTAAGAGTGGCGCTGTCGTCTCCTGCTGTTGTTGAGGTCTAGCGTTGAGTCTCCGAGTTTCCGTCATGCTGTGAAGTTGCAGCGCATTTACTCGACGAAAGGATCGACGGGTCGGGGAAGTCCACTCTCGTCCCATGGCAGCTTCATGCCTGGAAGAGGCTCCAGATCGTCAAACCAGACTGCCTTGGGGTCGTACTTGGCGAAGAAAGGACGACCAACCCAGTTTTCGTCACGGCATTGAAGGAATCGAAGCACAAAGGCCTTGTGTCCCAAGATCTCTTCCACACCAGTCACCTCAACCTTTCCGGGTGTGCAACTCATGGATGGACCACGGGCAGTACGGATCAAACCAGAGCAGTTGCGGATGGCATCGCTGTAGATTCGTTGGGCGCGGACAAGGGGAACATCGAAGAATTGTTGAGCACCCGTGTCACGAGCCATGAACATGTAGTATGGAATGATGCCCATCTGGGTTTCAAGGCGCCACTTCTGGGCCCAAACATCAGCATCGTCGTTAATTCCTCGCATGACTGGGCTCTGGGATCGGATAGTGGCAAATGCTTCCTTCTGGATTCGGTTGACAGCTGCCTTGAACTTGGGAGTGGAAAGTTCACGTTGGTGTGAAAGATGGGCCATGATGGCAATGTGACGACCACCCTCCTCACGAACACGGCGAAGCAATTCAATAACCTCATCGGCATCAGCATCGGTTGTGAATCGTTGGGGCCAGAAGGACAAACTGCGAGTTCCAATACGAAGGTTCTTGATGTGGGGAAGGAATGTTGGGTCAGTGAATGGCTCCAAGTATTGAGCCAAGGACCTAGTCTTCATGACCATTGGGTCTCCTCCAGTCATCAAAATATCAGAAACCTCTTCGTGTTCAGCCAAATAGTTGAAAAGAGAGTCAGCTTCCTTCTGGGCAAATCGCAATTCATCATCACCAATGAACTGAGCCCATCGGAAGCAGTATGTGCAGTATGCATGGCATGTTTGAGCAGCAGCAGGGAAAACCAATACGGTTTCGCTGTACTTGTGTTGTACTCCAGTCAAGTCGTCATTTTTTGGAGCATTCAACTGCTTCTGACCCGCTGGGTGGGGGTTAAGATCCGCACGGATGTCAGCAACAGTTTGGATGAGGGCAGCAGGATCTCCAGCCGCGTGTGCCTTGCGCAATTTTTCCTGGTGCTCAGGGATAAGCATATCCATTGTTGGGAAAACCAGACGGTAGAAAGGATCTTCCCTCAAGTCTTCAGCATCCCAATCGATCAATTCATCGACGTAGTAAGGTGATGCCTTGAAGGGGAAAATCAAACCAGAGAGGCGGATGTCCTCCATGTGAGCATTGAGCTGGGGGTGCTTTTCAGCAACCTTGTCAAGTGCCTGAAGACTGATGGCCTTGTATCGTTCATTTGGTTGGCTTGGTGCAACGCCGTTGGTTCCAATAATGTTATTCAAACCATCGACTTCCACTGCCTTGGAAGAAATCTCGGCCTCGGCTGTAGCTTCCACGCTCTTCTCAGCAACAAACAATCTGTTGACACCTAACGATACAAATTGAGAAGCAGAGAAAAGATTTAGATTCGATTCGACCTGAGGTCAATATTTGACGCCAATTAAAACTTTCAGGACCACCAACCTTTGAGCTCACCTCGCGAAACAGCAAGTTTCTGTGGAAGGAAACATTGGGCTCCAGGGAATGTGGCCACTCCAGCGAGAAGACCGAGGAGGGCGAAGCGCGAGATGGTTGATGGCATTATTGTTCTTTCAGATAGTCGAGCGAGTGAATCAATCACCAGAAATTATGACCGAATCCAATGTGCTGCAATGCTGTGTTCAGAAAAGCACGTAGTTATTGTTTTTTAGAATGCAATAGTGATGTGAGGATGATGTGGAGCAAAGGATTCTGCTTTCGCCTCTTTGGCAGCTGACAGGCAATGTGTCTGTCAAAGAGGCAACGTGTCCAGCCAGTCCAACGAAAGCTGGACCTGGGATTTTTCAAAATTAGAGCCCTGACCACGCATGTCATAGGAACTGTCATAGGTGTCTTCTGGTCCAATCAAAGACGCCATGAAACTGCGGGAAAATAATGTCTTTTGAATGTTTGACGATTTAGTAAACACATGTTTTTATACTTTAGAATATTTCAAAACACGTACAATACATGTAGTGTGAAAAATATGAATTGATTCGATTCTCGTTTTTACTAACATTGGACGAAAGAGAATCTCTTTTTGGCTTTCCCATCGAATGGTCTGGGCGAAATTCGTGGATCTCCAGCGACTTTTATTAAATTTTGGGGCTAAACAACACGGGGCTGTGGCTCCTGGCAATGAAGACCTCATGCCAATGGCCAATGACGTTGGTTGCGAAAATCCACGCAACCAACCAACTATTATTAACCAACACCACACGTAGTCGATTGGCTAATTTCCGGCCAGGTGGATGTCGGGACGGGCTGGTCATCAGACAAACTTCCGCATTGCCCAAGGGAATCGGCGTATCCAAGTTTCCAGCCTTGTTTGTCCCGATCGCTAGCTAGCTCTAGCTAGCTATCTATCGGGTAGATGTAGGTAGCTCCGAGAAGCTACAGCTACCTTCTGTTTCTGTAGCCGAAGTTTGGAACCTCCAGCGATGGCACCTATTGTAGGAATTCGGTGGTATCTTTGTGGTATCCCTAGACCAACATATCTGTCTGCTTGCTGCATGTCCAGCTCAGACAGGTTTAGCTACGTGTTTACATCCTGTACTGCAGGATATGGGGCTTGCCCATGTGCAGGGAAGTTCAATTTGGACTACATGTACACGGTACACGGGCCATCCAGGGCGGCTGAGGACTTGACAGCCTGGCTGGGCATCATGCCATGGCTGTTTGGTACTGGTACCATAACAGCTACCATAACATGGATGCGAACAAGACGTAGCTGGCTATAGATGTGCAACATTTGCTGGTACTCTTTTATTGTTTATATAAAACTTTCACTGGTTTTTCTTTGCATCTTCCTCCTCGGCCTTGTTCAGCTCACTTTGTGCATGGAACAAAACACTGAGGCGGTTGGCTGCAGTGAACCATGTAATCAAAACAGAGTAGAAAATGACAGCAACAACTGAAGCTGCACTGATTATGTTCCCAAACATGAAAACAAGTCCTTGCTGAATGAAAGACCCACCGCTTTTGCCAATTCTTGAGCCCAGCACATCAATCGCTGCCTTGCCTTTCACTTTGGATTCTTTGTCAAGTGGAATGTAAGCCATTTGTGTTGTTGGGTCGAACAAAGCATACTTGGATGTTTTGCTCAGTAGGCTTTGAATAGTCCCCAGCACCACAGCCGCCTTTAGTCGTCCTGGATTATCAATCCCCATCAAGATGCATGCAAAGAAGGGTGCAGCCAGCGCTGCCATGATGGTGGGAGTTGCAACGGCACCTATTCTCCAGCCCAGGACCCTTATTACTTGCACGCCAAAGAATATGACAATGCACGTAGCCAAACCAACTGCTGACGAAAAGTTGCCCATGAAACGTTGGTAGTCAAGTGGATTGGGATATTGCTTTTTCACCAGGGACTTCCACATGATTTCCGTAAAGTTGATGCTCAGGCCATAACCCAGGACGAGGGTAGCGATAAGTCGCAAGTATTGCGACGAAGCCAGGAATTGTGCAGATTCTGACATGGACATCTTTGGTTTCTTTGGCTTGTCACTCTTCTTTTCGCCATCGCCACCAAGCGAGATTTGTGGTTCGGTCCGTTCAATGTAGGAAGTACACAAATGATAAAATAGACAAATCATGCTCCCAGCAAACACCACTGCAGACATCAAACGATGAAATGATGTTTCGAAATCTTTGGCCTTGCTGGTGTACCGAACAACGTATTGGCCAGCCAAGACCGGGGCTAGACCGCTCACTTGAGCGAACAGGGGGTAGAATCGTTTGGCTTGGTCCACGGGTACCACATCATTTGCAAACTGCCAAAATAAAATGCCGACTGAAACCGACGAATAGATTTCTGCCACAATGTAGAACAGAGCAGAAGTCCAGTTGGCCACAATCTTGGCCAGAATGGCCAAACCCCCTGAGGTTGCCTCACCAGGGAGCCATGCCTGAACAGACTCCAATGATGGGTGCAGGTGTTGTGTGTTTGAAAAAATGAAAAGGTCAAAGAGACCGAAGAAAACGAAGAAGGGTATGCATGTTGCGTAGAAAAGAGTTTTCTTACTCAGGACATCCGACATCCTGGAGTAAAATGCTATGAATGCAGTGGCAGCTGGAAGCACCCCATAAATCTGCAGGAAGGAGAGGCCAATAATAGTTTCAACCCAAAAGAAAGATGGTGAGCATCACAAGATCTGAGCACCGCTAATGTGGCTACCAAGTCCTTACCTTGAGAAAAGCAATGGCCTCTGCCCCGCATTGAGTGACCACAAGGGTATCTTTGGTATCTCTGGTTAGAGTCAGAGCGAGAATGATGTAGAACTTGATGGCACTGATCAAAAAGAATTTCTTGGCCTCATCGCCACGGATGGGAAAAATTGTTCTTCGCAGTTTGACCCATGCTCCAGGTTCCTCGGCGGGAGAGCTGGTGGTGGTGGTAGTACTGTTGGCATTCGCTTCACTCATTTCAGATATTGTTTGGTTGGTTTCGACCTCTTCACCTCCCCGAAGGCTGAGTATTGAAAAACGTTTGGGCAATCGCTTCGCAGTAGGTCCGGAAGTTCCAGGACAAGATGGGCACCTGTGCAGGCCAGTGGAACGTTGACGGAGAGCGACGGCTGTGTGACTCTGAAACCAAAGTGATAGTGTTGCTGCAAGGATTATCAAAGAGGAAAAGGCTTTCATTCGAACTCTCTCGGTTGATGAACTCGTCGGTTGCCAACTTTGAAAGTAGGGTTTGTGAGGTAGATCCTTTCAATGCGAATGGAATCGTCGAGAAAGCAATGTCCTTGTGAGCTGACGAAAGCAGAAAAGACAAGAATGTGCTCTGTTAATTTTAAGGTAGAGCCAATAACTGCACCAAAGTAATAGCTGACCTGAGGAAGGGGACGATCTTATAGTAAAGTTTTACCAATAGACTACTCCCACAAGATAAAAAAGATGCGCCGATGGATGTGATGGGATGTCTTTCGCGATCTTGGACGGCTGTTGGATGTTGGTGGCCGCGAAGCTCCTCCCAACAAACGTCAGTTCACAAAATAATTAATAACACCAGGTTGAAATGAGGTTTGGTCCCCAATCTCGGCTGAGTTTTTGCGGAGTCTTCCCAGGGTAATCATACTAGTATGGGTCCTTCCTGGACTCCACCCTTTGGAGGCATTGAGCAAAAGATAAATGAAATCATCTCTGCATATTATTCTGCTCCTGTCTGAGATGTACAGAAGGCCATTTGATTTGTCAGCTTGCTGAGGTGTTTACCATAGACAATCTCCTCACAAAGATGACCCCGCAGACAGCCTCAAAGGACACCAGAAGATTCGATTCTTTGTTTCAGAACTTGCCATAATGGCGAAGCATTGCAACTTGGCAGCCATTCTAGCTAGCTAGAGAGCTACCGATATGCCGAGTCACCCCAACATTAAAAAAATTTACCACCCGTTTTATGGTAGGGGTAGAGGAGAGATGCATGTATGGGAAAACTATCCCGCTTTCACATGCATGGTGCGCATACTAGAGTACCGGTTCCAGTAGCAAGGGCAACACCAATGCCTACGTTGTCCCCTATCGCCATGACTCTAAGCAGAGCAATGTGGAAGCACATTTGCTCCTGCCTGGACTGGTACGTCACCGTAGATAGGGTTAGGGTTATCAGGAGAACAGTCGCAGCAGGAGCCAATCCAAGCCTCACATTGCTAGTAGCCACCAATCGAAGAGGACAATGGCGTCCTTTTCTTTTCATTTCGAGGCTATTCGCGACGGCTACTAGCTTTGGCTACAAGCCCACTGTTACGGCTACCTACTGCTACGGCTCTGGGTGTCGGTAGTGTGGCTGGAGCCATGTTCTTTCGATCGATCGATCGTTTCGGTCTTTTTGTTGTTGTGCTTTCCGGCCGATGACTGGCCATGATGAGTCCACCGACTGGTGTTACTCTAGCCCCATCTTGAGCGACACCAACTGGTGCTTCGACTCCCCTCTTGAGCGACACCAACTGGTGCTTTGTCTCCCATCTTGAGCGACACCAACTGGTGCTTTGTCTCCCATCTTGAGCGACACCAACTGGTGCTTCACTCCTCTTGAGCGACACCAGCTGGTGCTTCGTCTCCTCCTCCTCGGCCAACTGGCCCTGGAGTTGCATCGCCTTGGCGCACTGCCGCTGTTGTTGCCGTGCGTCCGACTCTAGGGCCATGGTCGATTTTTTCGCGTTTCGCGATTTTCAACAACAACAACAGAGCGACCCTTAAGTCTTTGCCTGATCGGCTCCTAAGTCTTCGTCTGATCGCCCCCTAAGTATTGTGCTCCTGGCAAGATTAGTGGCTCCTATGTCTCGGACTCCTGACCGGATTGGATTTTCACCCCCGCTTTAAAAATCCAGAATCCGTCACCGATGACGTCATTCGCCGATGACGTCAGTCGCCGATGACGTCAGTCGCCGATGACGTCAGTCGTGACCGGACGTGATGACGTCACGTTTCGTGACGTGTTTTCATCCATGCTTTCGAAATTTTTAAGTCGATGCATGAAAAGTCCTTGCGCGAAGACGATGCTTGACAAGGACCTGGGGGCCTCTAAGTCTTTGACTTTGCCCTCTAAGTCTTTGTCCCGCCCCCTAAGTCTTCCACCCACCGATGACTTGTTGCGCGACGAGACAGGTGGTGGCTTTGGTTGGTGATCAGTCCAACTGTTCCACACCACACACTACACAGCCACACCACACCTTGCATTGATATCCTGACAGCATGGTACCTGACCAGGCACTTGTGTCAGAGATTGAGGTTGACTCATTGCAATGGATCCCCAGTTCAAAAGCTACCTGGCTGGTAGCCTTTTGGATTCTTGGGTTGGGTTCAAGCCCTGTGCAATCCTACAGCAACAGTACAAGCCTGAGCTTCTGTGGTGGTGACCCTGGTTCCTCCCATTCCAGGCTATGCAGTGCAACATTATGAGGTCATAATCCCAATCCTGAAAGCTTCCACACAAGCCTTCCCTGATTTGGACCACTGCATCCTGCCTCTTGTTGCCTTCCAGTTGCCTGCCTCCCAGTTGTTCCCTCCCTTCCAGTTACTTTCCTGTTGTTGTGAGTCCTTGCTTTGTCCAGCCCCAGCCCCAGTTCTGTTTGCCTGGTGCTTTTGCTGTTGGTCCTCCCTTTATCCAGTTCCTGACTGTTGTTGCCGCTCCCAAAAGCATTGTTGCCGACAGTTCATTGAGTCATTGAATTGTCCCACCGACGACACTTCAACACTCCTTCCAGTCCAGCACCATCCCCAGCATGTCTGCTGACCTTCTAGTTCGTGGCAAAGCCCACGAGATCAAGTCCGTCTCCAAGGCTATCTTGGAGTTGACTGATGAAGCCACCCGCCATTTTGTTACCACCAAGCTCCAGGACCTGTTTGATCCCATGGGTTTCAGCGGTCAGAGCCTGGATGCGGCACGGCTCAACCAGTCGTTTTCCCTCCAATCGGTGTGTATCATCGACGGCAAGGTCCAGCCCTTGACTGCACCGACTTTGGCAGAGAAGGACAATGTCGTCTCTGTCATTGCCAGCATCAGTGATACCATTGGTGAGAGTATTCCTGTTCGTGTCCCCCATGATGCATTTACTGGTTTCGTCACCTCTTTGGCCTCCAAGCAGGTTGTTGACGATTTGAAACTGGTCCACTTTGAAGCCAATCCGGCCTCGGAGCTGCTGCTTCTGCCAGTACGGAGGAGACTCCAGTCGTGGTTGGCATGGAAGCCCTCCAGTTCGAGGGTGCCACTGCCGATGCAAAATCCCAGCCTTGGCTGGTGCTGCTGCCACTGATCTTACCGTGCTGACGAACAGCGTGTCGCAGACACGATGCCGAAAGCCCCATGTCAACTGAGTCAGCGGACACCCGGAGTGGTATACAGTCGGACTGTAGACCACCTTTACTCTAGGTGTAAACACACGAAAGAAAATAGGCGCGCAGAAAGATGCGAGCCAACATACTGTACGAGTGAATGGAGGCCGAAACTTTAAAATTAGGCCACCGGAATGACAAAAAAGTAGCCAGTTTACACTCTTGGAGGAGGAAGAGCCAGGCGCAAAGGGCGACCATGGCAATCAATCAGCGGCACAAAGGGCCACAACCACCACCGTTCAAAGACGGAGCAACAGGGCCACACCAAAAGGAATTCACGGCCTCAATCGCTGGCATAGTCAGCTCCACACCTATCAGGTACCAAGGGCTGTCACTGTTGTGTGGTGTGGCAGTAAGATGGTGCGTCACCACCACCTGGACCAAAGTCTCGCGGCGCGCCAAGTCATCATTGGATGGAAGACTTAAGGGGCGGGGCCAAGAATTAGAGGGCAAAGTCAAGACTTAGAAGCCCCCATGTCCTTTTCAAGCATCGACTTCGCGAGAAGGACTTTTCATGCATCGACATAAAATTTCGAAAGCATGGATGAAAACACGTCACGAAACGTGACGTCATCAGATCCGGGCACGACTGACGTCATTGGCATTGGCGACTGACGTCTCAGTCAGATTCTGGATTTTTAAAGCGGGGGTGAAATCCAATCCGGTCAGGAGTCCGAGACATAGGGGACCACCAATCTTGCCAGAGCACAGACTTAGGCGGCAATCCGGAAGACTTAAGGGCCGATCCAGCTTTTTTGTTGTTGAAAATCGCGAAACGCGAAGATCGACCATGGCCTGAAGTCGGGACGCAGGCGCAACGGCAGGAGGAGAGGGATACACTCCAGGGCCAGTTGGCTGAGGAGGGGAGACGAAGCACCAGTTGGTGTCGCTCAAGAGGGAAAAAGCACCATTGGTGTCTCAAGATGGGGAAGACGAAGCACCATTGGTGCAGAGGGTGAAGCACAGTTGGTGACAACTCATCATGGCAGGGGGCTAGAGAAACACCAGGCGGTGAACCATCAGGCAAGGTTGGCTAGAGAAACACCAGTCGGTGAACTCATTAAGGCCGAAGACATGGCTAGCAGAAACACCAGGTGGTGAACGCATCAAGGCCAGAGTCCAGTCAGTTTATACTCGTAGAGGAGTCAAAGCAGTTTATACTCGTAGAGGAGTCCAAGCAGTTTATACTCATAGAGGAGTCCAGTACGATCGATCGACTCGGTCATCGTGAAAAGCACACGAGAAAAACCCAAACGATCACTCGGTCGTTCGTTCGTTCGATCGACACCAAAGCTCCTGCCGACAACGACCAACAGTAGTAGCCGTAGCCATGGTCGAGTAGCGGCACCACGAACGAACAAATGCAATACACGGCTCTTAGCCTTATTCGCGACTCGATCCTAGATAGGGTTGAGTCACTCAGACGTAGTCCTTCGCGAATAGTCATTGGGACAGGGTTCTCAATGACCGCTCTAGTCATACTAGTTGATGATGAAACATCGCTCTAGATATTTAGCCAGCGTGGAGTACTTCCACGCTAACTAGATAAATGCTAGACGAACTTCCACGCGTTCCGTTTTGGATCGTGG